TAGGAATCCAGAAGCCCTGGATTTCAGCCCTGCTTCTGCCACATACCAGCTGTGGGACCCTGGGGCAAGTCAACCTCAATGCCTCAGGCAACTCTCAGAAGACTTGCAGAAAATTTGACAACTTGCCCTGATAATGGTAATTCCTCATCAAAAGCTCCCTACAGTCATGATATCACAGGTCCAGTTAAAAATCCTTTTTTGGAGGAATAGGACCACTGATCAGGGTGGGTGGGATGAGAATAATGGACAAGAGTGAGAAGGCAAACCTATTTTGCTTATGTTCTTGCTTTTTATCCTCACCAAGCCAAATGACAGAAAAAAATGGCTGATAGAGTTGATCCTTAAGACCAGCTGGGAACCAGTAGGAAAGTATGTGGCACTTAGCACCATGCCTTGAATGCCGCTGTTGTTCAGCCCTGTGGGACTCTTTGTGACCCCTTTTGGGGGTGTTTCTTGGCAAAGATCCCGGAGTGTTTTGCCATTTCCTTCTCTAGTTCCTTTTACAAATGAGGAAACTGAGGTAAACAGGGTTAAGTGACTTGCCCAGGGTCACATAGCTAGTAAGTGTCTGAGGCTAGATTTGAACTCAGGAAGATGAGTCTTCCTGACTCCAGGCCTGGCACTCTATCCACTGCACCAACTGGCTGCTAGCTGCCTGGCACGCTAGTAGGCACTAGTGGACTGGCCACCTCTGCTAAGCTCAAGTCACCAGATACAGAAGGATTGGGGGACATGTCCCTATCTTCAAAAAAAGGTAAATAGAGTCAGTTTGATTTTGATTTGGAAGAAGAGGTAGGAATTGAGAGTGGGTAGGGAATTTAGAATTTAATATTAAAGGGATGATTAGCCAACATCTAGAAAAAAGAGGCAGTGGTCATCAGGAGCCAGATCAAGACATCCTTCGTTTCCTTTCTTGATCAGTGTCACTAGGATAGATCAAGAGAATGTTGCAGGTATAGTTTAACCTAGATTTTAACAAATAACTAGGCAAATTCTCATACTACTTTTATGAACAAGATGGAGGAATGTGGGCTAAATGATGGTGGTTAGGTACTTCAGAGCTAGTTAAATGGCAACAGTTAAAGGAAATAAACATTTATTAAGTACCTACTGTGTTGCAGGCACTGTGCTAAACTAAGCACTTTACAAATATCTCATTTAATCCTTACAACAACCTGGTGAGGTGGGTGCTATTATTATCTCCATTTTACAGTTGAGGTAACTGAGGCAGACAGAGCTTGTGACTTGCCCAAGATCACACAGCACCACCTAGCTGCCCCCTTTTAGCATTTTGATCAATGACTTAGATAAAGTCATGGATGGCATGCTTATCAAATCTACAGGTGACACAAAGCTAGGAAGCCTAGCTAATATGTTGGATGACACTCAAGACAGGGTTTGAGAAGATTCTACCAGGTTAAAATGTTGAGTAAACGCCAATAATCAATAAGCCCCTACTATGTGCCATCAGCCCCCCAATAGTCAATAAGCACCTGCTATGTGCCATCAAACACCCCCCTCCCCAGTAGTCAATAAGCACCTACTATGTGCCAGGTATTATGCTGACAACAGGATTAAATTTAAAGAGATAATTGTAAAGTCTTCTACTTAACTCAAAAAATTAACTTTACAAGTATCAGATGAGGGAGGGGGAAGATATGACTAAACAACAGTTTGTAGGGAAAAGACCTAGAGGTTTTAATGGACCCTAAGTTCATTGTGACAACCCCCAAAATACTACTATCCCTATGTTAAAGGCTACATTAAAGGAGACATAATACCCTAGAGTGAGGAGGCAATAATCCCACTGTACTCTATGTGCCTAGTCAGACCATCCCTAGAGGGCGTAGCATTGTGCTTCATTTTGAGTGATATGTTTTAGGAAGAACATTGAGAAGCTAGAGAGAGCAACTAGGATGGTGAAGGGGCTTTGATATCATGCCACGTGAACATCTTTTGAAGAACTGTGGATGTTTAGCTGGGAGAAGCCCTATGGGAGAATGAATGCTGGTCCTCAAGTATTTGAGGGCTACCTATCACCATTACATCTTCTCCCTATAACAACACCCACCGGGAGGTAGCCATCTTCTCCCTTTTAATACATTTCTCCTGGGCATCCTCGGATCAGAAATGAGGCTTTATCCTTCCCCCAATCTTATCATTGCATAAAGAGGAAGACATTCTGCTTGGCCCCAGGGGAAAGAAACAGGCTGGAGGAATGGGTGGGGTTAGGCAAATTTAGTTTTGATTTATATTTATATTGAGACATATCCCAGAGTGCATTGGGTTGTCTGACAAATGTATTTATGGTTTCCCTTCAGGGAAGAGCTTCCAATAAAGGCTTGAAGAACACTTTTTGCCATGGATAGTGTGGATTCTTATTGGACTAAGTGGCCTGGAAGGTCTCTTCCAACTCTGAAATTCTATGATTCTAATCTCCCATCTCCAAACATAAGATCATAGATCCAGGGCTGGAAGGGACTCCAGAAGCCATATAGTATAACCTCCCCCCACCCCCTCAATTTGCATATGAAGAAACTGAGGGCCAGTATTACATAGACAGTAATCATCAGAGATAGAATTTCAACCCCCGGTCTTTAATTCCCAAACCAGTGCTATTTCTAATCAAAAAGCAGTGGCCTTAGAAATCTGAATGCAGCCCTTCTAGGTTTCTGATCCTTTGGTCTAGAATTCTCTCTGGCCAAACAGAGCAGCAGTTGGTGCATCAAAGGACTACTACATTGCCCCTGCACTACCTTTTTTTTGTGGGGGGGAGGCAATCGGGTTAGGTGAACTTGCCCAGGGTCACACAGCTAAGGAGTGTCATGTGTCTGAGGCTGAATTTGAACTCAGGTCCTCCTGACTCCAGGACCAGTGCTCTATCCACTGTGCCACCTAGCTGCCCCACCTCCATACTAACTCAAGGGCCTCTCTGTCCCATAGACCAAAGATCACAAACCTGTCCTAGGAAGGATGATTGAGTGGCCTGGGATAACCAAGGTGGTTCAGTGCTGGCCAGTCAAAACAGATGGTCTTGAACTTCAGCAAGACCTTCTAACTGAAGCAGATCATCATCTCCTAGAGTAAAGACTTATTTCTTCATCCTGCTATTTCTCTCATTAGCCTCTAGGTGGTACCATCTAACCTCACAAACATACCCAATATTGAAGGTTTCAGAAACCACCCTGTCCATTTGCCAGTTGAAAGAAATCACATCCTTGATCATGTGTCCGGCTTCTCAATGATCCCAACGCGCCTGAGCCTCTTCCAAGACCATTCCAACAGTGACAGAACATGAGCTGCCCCGACCCCCGACCCCCACCGCCATTCAACAAAACTCACCTGGAAGCCCTGACCCCTTGAGCCAAATCCTCTAGGAGTCTGTCCTTCAATGCCCACTTTTTGGGGGCAGTCTTCTCCCCTCCCACCAGACCCCCACCAAACACACACCAGGAAGTAGTCATCTCTTCCTACTAATCCATTTCTCCTGGGCTTTCTCAGGTCAGAAATAGTGCTTTATCCTTCTACAATATTATCTCAGATTCTTCCACCACAGGATTTCTCAGGACTGAGACATATGGCAGAGGAGGTCAGTAAATACTTATAAAATAGATTGTGGACTCCTTTCCCCACCTTCCTCCCATGCTGCTCAAGGATGTTAATATGATACATGATAACCATAACAAGTAACATTGATACAACACTTACCCTGTGCCAGGCATGGTGCTACGTGCTTTACAATTATCATCTTAAGATGAAGCAGTCTTTTAAGTTTCGGATGCTCTTTCTCCGACACCATTCCTGTTTGAGCCCCCACAATCCTGCTATTCCATAGGTAGAACAGGGACTGTCATCCCTATTTGACAACTACCTTCTTGTACCTCTGCCTCCCCATAATCACAAAGCCATGATGATATCATCAGAGCCGGACTCCAGGTTTCCTGGCTCCAAGTTTGATGCTCTTACCCCGCAACAAGAGTATTCTCTGAATAGGCAAGCACATATACAAACACACATGTAGTAGAATGTAAACTCCTCGAGGGCAGGAATTTTTTAAAATGTTAGTCTTTCTCTGTGCCTGGCACATTGTGGGTAGGGGACCTGTGAAGGAGGTATCCAGATCTGTGATTTCCTCTGGATAAGGAACTCCTGGCATAGAAAAGTCCCTCCACTAATGTAGATAGGGCAACTCCCCTCTTACTCGGAGAGCTAAAGAGCTGCATGGATGCACTGAGAGTTTAAGTGACTTGCCCATGATCACAGAGCTAATATGATTCAGAGGCAAGACCTGAACCCAGGCCTTTCTACCTTCTATCCACCCTAATAGCTAGCTAGCATGCATATAGCACTTTAAGGCTCAAAAAGAATTTTACATATGTTATCTCATTTGATCCTTACAACAACCCTATAGTATAGATACCATTATCTTCATTTTACTGATGAGGAAACTGAGGCTGAAAGGTTACATGATTTGTGTAGGGTCATACAGCTGGATTTGAACTTAGGTCTTCTTGACTCCAACACTCCACTATCCAAAGGTAGGAAACCACATGTGGCTCTTTAGGTCCTCAAGTGCAGCCCTTTGACTGAATCCAAGCTTCACAGAACAAATCCCTTTAACAAAAGGATTGGTTCTGTAAAACTTGGACTCAGTCCAAAGGTCATAATCAAGGACCTAGAAGGCCACACCCAAGAACCTAAAAGGCCAACATGGCCTCCAGCCCACAGGTTCCCCACCCCTACTTCTAGCTGCACTATGTGGCACACAGCAAAAGCTTAATAAATGCTTGTTGAATGGGATTTTCCCAACCAAGAGCTTCTCACTGCTTAGCACAGCTTAGGTGCTTAATAAATGTTTAATGAGTTGAATTATAGGATTGGATTCTCTCAACCCAGAGTTTAGCACAGTGCCTGGCACACAGTAAGTGCTTAATAAATGCTTGTTGATTGATAGCACTGACCCCACAGTGATAGAACAGCAGAACTGGCAAACTGAGAGGTTAGAATAGCTAAATCACCTTTATTCACAATCAGGGTGACCCAGAGGACACAATGGAGGTGGCGTCTAACAGAGTACAGCATCAGAAAGAAATGGAATAGAACATGGTAGGTGCCTTCTCTTCCTCCTTCTTCCCATTCTTCCTTTTCCCCAGCACCCCATGAGAATATGACCCCAGATCAGAACAGAGTAAGGGGAACCCTGTCCCCACCTCCCTAAAGATGCCCTAATTTAGAATCTCAAAGGAACCAACCAGGAGATTCCTTGCTTCTGGAAGGGCTGGGGAAAGGACTTCTCTCCCACACCCCCATCTCCAATACCAACCTACCAACCAAAATCTTAGAATTAACCTCAATCTAACTTCAGAACTGGAAGGAACTTTAGAAACCATCCAGTACAACTCCCATGACTTAGAGAAAATGGACATACACAGAGCAAAAGTGGTTTGCTTAGGCTCACACAGGGAGTTAATGACAGAGATAGGAAGAAAATCCAGGTCTTCTGGTTGAGGGCTCTTTGCACTGAAAGGTGATGCTTTCCCTCATGTTCTCCCTCTGTTCAGCAGCAGAGGTGGACCAAGACTGGATATGGACAGATAGGGTAGCAGCAAAGGGTCAAACAAAAGCAGTTGCTAACCCTCAAAGGTGGGAAAGACTCAGCCTGGTGAACCTAGGGAAGACCCAACCCTACTCAGTACCTCCATACCATCTAATACCCCTGAGATCCTGAAGCCTGGTCAGTGTTAGGGATGGACTTTGGGTGAGATGATTGTGGCTTGAGACAAGTGCTAAAGACACCACTTTCCCCAGGTCCCTTGGCAATGCATCCCAAATCACAGACTGACATTCTCCCAAAAGACAGCTCTGGACCTCTAACCCTGGGAGGACAAACAGAGGATGGACAGACATCAAAAGGCTTTAAGCATCTCCACTTCCTCTCAACTGGAAACCTATTTCACTGAGGTCCAGGACTCTTTTTTTTGGCCTTTCATTGGGTTGGAGGAGAAGAAGATAGAGAGGGAAAGTGTCTTACCCCAGGTAACCTACTCCTACCACAGATTAGAGGTCAACAAACAAAACTTTCCCAAATGAACCCTCCTTTTTCTGCCTCTGGGTTCTCTCTACCAGTCTCAGAATCATAAGGAATTGGGAAAGACCTCAAAGTTCATCTTGTCCACCCCCTCCCATTTACAGATGAGGAAACTGAGACCCAGAGAGGTGAAGTAACCAAGGCTGCGCAGATAGTAGCAGAATTGAGGCTTGAACTCAGGTCCTTTGACTCAAAATCCAGTACCAAACTGCCTCCTGAAACTCTAGAACACCTGAAATCTCCTCTGGGAAATGGGAGAGAATTGTCTAGGACAGAGATTTTTCAATTCCTGGAGGCTAAGGAAACATTTGGCTGGGTTTTGATGGGAGAGAGGCTTACTGAGCCTGAGTGGGTTGAGCCCCAGTGGGAAGCATCTGGGATGAAGCTGTCTTTGTCACCCAACTGCCCCCTGCCTGGCACATGTCATAGGCACCTAAGGCTAGTCCTCCAGGTCATGAGGCAGGAAGGGATAGGTGGGGGAACAGTAATACCACCTAGTGCAAATCAATAAATTAATTAAAAATAAATAAGGCAAGAGAGCAAGGGAGGGCTTACAGGCCAGGGTGGGGGTATGGCCAAAGTTGGAAGTGACTGCTGGGCAGGAAGGACCTATGTGAGGGAGAGTCTGAGTCACAAACATCCCCTCCTCCTAGGTCCCCCATAGCTTCCATGATGAACTGCCCCCCTGGCACTGAGATGATAGGAGGAGGATGCCTGAGGGAGTGGGGGTGGGGAGAGCTAGGGAGAAGCATCCCCTGCCCCTGCCCCTGCCCCCTGGTTGGAGGCCTCAGATGATGGCAGGGTGAGATGATTTGTGTCTTAGGAGGCGAACTGCAAGCAAGACCTCTCCCCATGGTCACAGGGGCCTGGGAGAAGTCAGGAGTCATTAAAACCCACTTCTCAAAAGTCAAAAGGAGGTGGTATCCAATCTGGGTGGGCCTCTCTGTAGTCATTCCTCACTGTAGTCAATTCACAATTCCACTCATGCCTGAGGGGCAGCCTGAGATGTGATAGGGAGGGGAAGGAAGATAAAGGAAGAGGAGGGGAAAGTTCAGGAGGCAGATATCCTTTCTTCCTGTAGGTCACAGGATCAGAAATCTAAAGTTGGAAGGATTCCCGAAGGCCAGTGAGGCTAACTCCCTCATTTTACAGATGAGTAAATTGAGGCCAAAAAAAGGTTCAATGACATGCCCTGGGTCACACAACTAGGGAGAGTGAGGGAGGATTTGAACTCTGGTCTTCCTGACTCCACCCTCAACACTCTATCCACTACACTACCCACTTGCCCTCTAGCTGAGGAAAATGGACACGGCAGCTCCTTTCCAAAGAGCTCCAAATCTTTCAGTCAAACACTTGACAGTCTGTGAAAGGGAAGAGAGAGACAAAATGAGAGGAAGGGAGAGAGAAGAGATGGCAGGAGAGGAAGAAGACAGTGTAGAGATAAGAGAGGAAAGAAAATTGGAAAGAGAAAACAGGAGAGGCTTTTTTTAAAGGGGTCAGACTGGTCAGGTGCACTCTGGGGTGGGAGGCGCTGGCTCTCATTATACTCCTCCCCAGAGGCCTGGTCAGACATGGCTTATGAGGGTGGGAACAAGGAGAGATATTCCTGGTTCCTCCAAATCCTGGATTTGCTCTGCCCCTCCCCTTCTCTAGAAATCACCAGGGAGGGGCCCAGCCTTTTGCTGAGTCAGGGCATCCCCAGATGAATTAAGGTCCAAAGCACAGGTCTGTCTTCTCACGGATTCCAGAGATAGTAGCCAATGAGGTCACCTGAAGGGGCTATCTTTCTACCCCATATGCCCTAAAGCCCCTGGGGAGCCTTTGCTTTGCTTTTTTAATGGAAGAAGGGAAAACAAGTTTCCAAAAAAGAGAGAAAAGGGGGTCCCTGTTTGCTAGCCCTCTGCTAGGGATGGAGTTGGCCTCCTGATGGCTAGAGTCCCACCATGGGCAGGGTGGGGTGGGGGAGCAGCAGGGTCAGCATCGGATCTAAGTGCTCCGGTAGGTCTTAATGATGTCCTTGATGACTCGACGGCAGATGGGACAGCAAGCGTGGACAGTCTTCTTCAGGCGGAGGCCACAGGAGTAGCACAGGCACATGTGACCGCAGGTGTAGATGACCGTGTCCACTGTGTTCTCATAACAGATGGTACACTCATCACTCCATGGCCCTGGGCCTGGCCCCGGCCCAGGGCCCGGTGACAGAGGCGACTCAGGCAGGCTTACAGGTGAGTTGGGGGCTGTGCCTGGGGAGAGGTGGAAGGCAAGTGTAAGAGGAAGGGGGTGTGGGAGGAGTCTGGGCAATCTTGGCTAACTCCACTGATGAGCTACCGTGGGCCCTTGGGAGGGATACCAAACCTTTCTAAGCCTCAGTTTATCTCTCTGTGAAATAAGAGGGAATAATGAACAGGGGGTCTGGGAAGTTTTCACGAGCAGATGACCTGTTGCTGACAAGGATCTGAAGGAAATGCTGAATAAATAGAATTCCTTAAGGTTTAGAGTCAGAAAGAACCTTGGAAATCAGCTAGCCAAGACCCTCATCTTACAGATGGGGAAATGGAGGCCTATAGAGGTGGTGTGACCTTGCCAAAGGTCACACAGAGCCAATATTTGAACCCAGGCCCCAGATCCCAAATTTAGTGCTCTTTACATATGACACGGTACTTTCCCAAAGGGAAGTCCAGATTAAGGATACAGGGGAGATATAGAGGATCTTTGGGTCTATTTCAACAGGCCCCCCTTTTCCTCTGCTCCAGAAGGGGCTGCATGGAGAGAGTAGTAGGGATGATGAGTAAGGAATGAAGAGGAAGGTCATACTCACCACTGAGAGAGCTGCCGGGGGGTCCAGAGCTGCATGCACTCAGCAGAGGGTCAGAGAGCCGACTGCACAGACCAGTAGGAGAAGTGGGTGAAGATGCTGGGGAGGTTGGGAGAGATGGGACACCTCGCTCAGCCAGGATGGTGGAGCCTACGAGACAGTGAGAGGGAAAGAAGAAGAGAGGGCCACATCTGGTCACCTCCTCCTCAGACCTGGCCACCCTCCCCACCCAATGGAGATGATTATAGCTGATGAGGAAACAGGAGCTTGAAGGGTCCCCCTTGAGGGGGGGCATTTGGAACAACCTTCACACAATGCTGGAAGTAACTGTTCTAAAGTATCTCTGTTGTCTTGATCCAGCAATACCACTTCCAGGGCTGTATCTCAAAGAGATCATAAAAACAGGAAAAGGACCCACATGTACAAAAATATTGTGGTGGCAAAGAATTGGAAATTGAGGGGATGCCCATCAATTGGGGAATGGCTGAACAAGTTGTAGAATATAAATGTAATGGAATACTATTGTGCTATAAGAAATGATGAGCAGGCAGACTTCAGATAAACCTGGAAAGACTTGTATGGACTGATGTTGAGTGAAATGAGCAGAACCGGAAGAACATTGTACACAGTAACAGCCAAGTTGTGTGATGACTGACTTTGATAGACTTGGCTCTTCTCAGCAATGCAAGCATCTAAGACATCTCCAAAAGTCTCATGACAGAAAATGCTATCCACATCCAGAGAAAGAACTATGGAGTCTGAATACAGATGACAGCATGCTATTTGCTCTCTTTTTCCTTTGTTATTTTGTTTTATTGCTTCATTCTCATGGTTCCTCCCATTAGTTCTAATTGTTCTTTACATCATGATTAACGGGAAAATATGCTTAATATGAATGTATAAGTAGAGCCTATATCAGATTGCATGCTGTCTTGGAAGGGGGGAGAGTGAGGGGAAAAATTTAAAACTCAAAATCTTATGGAAGCGAATGTTGAAAACTAAAAACAAAATAAAAATAATTAATTATTAAAAAAATAAAGAATCTCTCTTGTCTACATCACTCCTTTGCTCAGAAACTTTCCATGGTTCCCAAATGACGAAGTCTAAATGTCTCAGCCCACAGCATAGATTTCCCTTTATATAATTGTGTTCCTGGGGAATTGTGAATAAAAGCAATCTTTGTAAATCGAACCCTGTTTCCTGAATGGTGGGTGGCTACCTCCCTATTGAGGTCTATCTCTATCCCTGGTGGCTCTTCAGGGGGTAGAAAGTCTTCATTCTGTACCTGGTACCCGTGGCTGCTAATTAAGGAATTGTAAACAGATGCTTCTTTGCAAAAACGGAGGCAGCCTTTTGTAGAGCCAAACACTCTTCTGTAGTGTGAACAGTTACCTGAAGTGGGGCTGCTAGTATGTCCGGGTGAAGCACTTTCTCTGCTGGGTCCCAAGGGCAGCAGCTCCTATATATCTCCTGCCACAGAATTCCCCAGCTAAGCCACAGAGCCTTGAAGTCCAGTTCAGAAGCCCCTTCCCTTCTTCTCTGCAATTTAAAAGAAACTTCCTCCCTTCCCCTTCCCCCTAATCTCCCTTCTCTTTCCCCATCCCCCACCCCCACTCTTCCCTACTAGGCAGGCAGTAGAGACCCCTAGGAAGTGCTATTAATAGCCAGATAATAAGATATCTTGTAGTAACATAATATCCTTTCTTAAACGACCAGTAAGTGTCTCAGCAGGACTAGCTCATTTATTTTGACAACCTCTCTAGGAGGTGGATGGTTAGAAGGTATGAAGGGAGGGAAAGAAACATTTTGGCCCAGAGAGGTTGAGTGATTTGTCTGAGGCCACACGGCAAGACCGCTTTCTAGTTGATGGAAACATTATAGAACTACACCAGGGCCATGGTGATTTGGGGAGGGGCTTCTCAAACACACTAGAAAAGCACAGATTGTGGGGGCCTGTTTGGGGAGCCTTGGTCTCCCCCACTGCCCCATTCTCCATGCTAGGTGCATTCATCCTTCCTGATGTGGAGACCTCTTTTTAATTGGAGTCCCTGGTAGGGGACTGGGGTCAAAAAAGCGAGTGCCGGACCTCGGGCTGATCTCTTATTGGCCCAATCTGATGTCATTTCATCTCAATTTGTTTTCTTCTCCCATCTGAATTTCTTTCTCAAGATCCTCTTGGCCAGTTCTAATGTGCACAGCTGCTGCTTTTAACCAAATTAATCCAAATGACCGCCTGCCTACGCTATCCCCTTTATCCTTCTCTCTACACAGAGAACAAAGAGCAAACACATGCCTACTGTATACCTGGACCAGGATCAGCCCTACAGCCACCAGCCCAGGAATGGGGCACAGAGCACCATCAATTCCATTCTCGGAGTAGTCACAGCAGGCATTACTGCCCCCCACCACTTTGTACCCATGGAGAAACTGAGGCACCCTTAATAATCTGACTACAGAGGCTCCCCCCACCACCTCCAAGAAAACAATTCCAAGACTGGCACTACATAGTGGGGGGAGGGGAGGAGGGAGCCCCTACTCTATTTAAAATTCATCTCAGTTTCTAAGGCACCCTCTGTTCTTCTCTGTCCTGAAAGTCTGACCACGAGAAACATTTGAAGCTAAACAACAAAGACAGGTCCCTGTGAACAGGCCCCATGTTCTTTCTTAGATCCATGAGGGTAGGGACCATGTCTTCCTAAATCCTGTACCTCCCCAGCATTTCCCATTGAACTGTATGCAACAGATATTAATAAATGCTGGTTGGAGAATGGAAACCAGAGTTAGGGCTTCTTGGCAGTGGTTTGACAAAAATTTTGCACAGAGGTGGGTGGCTGGACAAGATGCCCTCCCTTAGTGCCCCAGCCTTCCCCTCCTTCCCCCACCCTCCCACTCAGTGTGTGTGTGTGTGTGTGTGTGTGCGCACACACACACACACACCCCTGTTGCTAGGAATCGATGGCATATGTTTTGAGACTCAGCCTCAGCGGCTCATCTGGGAAGACTTCCCTGACTGCTCCAGCCCACCTTGACCTCCCCCCCCTGATCCTTACCACCTGTCACCACAGTCTGGCCGGTACTGAAATCTATCAGGATCCTTAACCAGACCACGAATTCCCCAAGACAAGGCCTGAACCCACTACTCTTGCCTTTCCTACAGGAAGGCCCGGCCCAGTGTTGAGAAGTCTAGAATAAAGGCTCGGGAAAGCCACGTTCCTTCAGGCAAAAAAAATATGTGAGACAAAAATATGACCTCTCTCAGCCTTAGTCTTATGAGTTCAATTCATTAAGCATCTATTCAGTGCCTACCATATTCACCAGGCACTGGGCTTAGGTGCTGGGCCACACTGACAAAAAATAAACCCCCTGCTCTCAAAGAACACACATTCATCCTAATCTTTCCAAGGTGAAAAGTCCTAATCTTTTTATTTTTTTTTTCTTGAACTCATCCAACTGCCCCTCACCGGCATAGATCACTCACACTCACACACAGAATTACACACCCCTAATCATACACACACTCACATACGTTCTTAGAAGACATTTCCAGAAGACTCAGACTGGGTGGTCCACTTTCTCATATACACATAAACCTGGCCACACATACTTGTATGCATACACACATATACACATGCAGTCAAAACTCTCTGGGAGGCAGTGTGGGAGAATGGAAATAGCCCTGGACAGAGGCTCTGCCACTGACTGACTGACTGGGTGACCTTGAATGAGTCATAACCTTTCAAGGCTTCCCTTTTCCTCATCTGCAAAAGCGGGAAGTTGGCCTGTCTCATCACTATGGTCCTTCCCAGCTCTGACAGTGCACAAACAAATAACTTCCCTTTTTATAGACTTCCAAGGTTTAGAAAGTGCTTTTCTTCACAACAACCCTGGGCAGTAAGAAGTACAAGGATTTTTATTCCTATTTCCCCAGAGGAGGAAAGTCAGGCTTAGGAAGGCTGAGTCACTGAGGCTCGTGGTTACAGTGGTCAGTTAGGTATCAGAACCAGGATTTGAACACAGATCTTCCAGGTCCATGACTAACACTCTGCTATGTCATATTTTTGCAAAACACAAGGCACAGAAGAAGAGGCAGGTGAGGGTAAGGTACCCAAGACAGGTCTTACCTCTTTCTAATTTTCCCATAGCAGATAGACACCTGTCACCACTCTATAGGTATGGGTTACAAGACCAGCATTTAAGAGCCTGGTTGTTTCCTATTCCTGTAACTCAGGGCAACTGCCAAGAGGTGTGCAAGTCAGGTCTGCCCTACAGCCTCATGGTCCAGATGGCCAGTCTTCCCCCAAAGCACAGTAAAGTAAGTCACAGATTATTTGCAAACAGGAAAACATTTTGGAAAAAGGGTGAGACCTACCAAGGACGCGGATCTGTGTGATGGCCCCATGCAGATTGAAGAGCATCCAGAGGGGCTGGGAAACGTCTACACAGAGCTGCATGCCAGCGGCTGCCCCATTGTGACTCAGGTGCAGCTCCCCATCAGCAGTCACCATAAAGCCCAGGATGTCACCACTGTGGAGGGGCCCAGGGACCCGGCACACGGCCCAGAACTCCTTCCTGTCCACCAGGGCCTCTGGGTTATAGGGGAGGTCACTGGGACGCAGAGTCCCAGGATCACAGGTTGTGACACCGTAGGACAGGGTTCCAGGGCGGGAGGTATTGGATTTGTTGACCTTGACGAAGATGGTCTCCCCCACTCGCAGCGGCCGACTGGTGAAGACCAGTGTCCGCTCCTCGCGGGCGTGCTCCAGCCGGGCCACTGTCTGCTCGTCCAGGATCTTGATGTGAGCGCCTCGCAGCTGGTGGAAGCGAAGGTCACTCTCTAGCTGCGGGGGCAACGAGTGGCAGTTCTGAGAGTTGAGGGAGTTCTGCGGGATGGAACAGGCTGACGCCGCCACGGCCGCAGCCTGGAAGCCCCCGTCCTGCATGTTGAGGTCGCACAGGCTGACAGAGAGGCGCGTGTCCTCAGGGTCTCTCCGCAGCGAGGGCCTTCGGATGGCAGTGAAGGACCGGGGACGGAGGCAGTCTGGGGGGACAATCTCGCTCTCTTTAGGGAGCCAGGGAAGGAGGGGAGATAAAAGACAAGGAGAAAAGAGAAGAGACAAATCAGACAAGCTTATCCACATCACAAACTGCTCCAAAGGTCAGGCCCAAAAGCCACCATGTTAGGGTTCCCTCTCGGTCAAGGGTGGAGGGCTAGAAAAAGTTGAACCAATGGGCCAGGAGGGCAACCAAAGGGCCATGGAGCCAGGGGTGGGCTCAGAGGTACAGACCCTAGCTCTGGGGCTAGAAAGATGGAAGTGAGGGGTTCTAGAGCCAGTGTTCTCCCAGTAACAAACACATAAGCTCATTGAAGATAGGGATTGTTGTTTCCCTAGAACCAGTGTCTTGGGCCCCTACTAATAACGAGATTTTTAGAACCCATCCCACAACTAAATATCTAATGCCTTACTTCTGTCCCCATGAATTGTTGCTCAATCGTTCAGTCGTGCCCGACTCTTTCCCCTGGACTATAGCATGTCAGGCCCTTCCATCCTCCGCTGTCCCCGAAGTCTGTCCAAGCTCATGTTTGTTGCTTCCATGATACTATCTATCTACCTCAACCTCCGCCATCCTCTTCTCCTTTTGCCTTCAGTCTTTCCCAACAGCAGGAGCTTGTACACTGAGTCCCATCTTCTTATCATCTGGCCAAAGTATTTAGGCTTCAGCTCCTGCAGTTGTCTTTCCAATGAGTAGTCTGAATTAATTTCTCCCTGTGTATACCAGTGAGCATTTGTTTCCAAGGTAAAATCTACTTGCATATTTTCAGGGAACTAAAGAAAACACTGGGGCAGTTAGGTAGCGCAGTGGATAGAGCTCCAGCCTTGCAGTCAGGAGGACCTGAGTTCAAATATGGTCTCAGACACATGATACTCACTAGTTGTGTGACCCTGGGCAAGTCACTTAACCCCCACTGCCTTGCAAAAAAAAAAAACCAACACCAACACTAAGGAGGGGGAGAGAAGGTGCATAACCCCAGTTTTATGTCTGAAAGCCCAGGATTCAGGCCCCAGAAGTGCCACGGGAATTAATTGCTCCTGTCTATTCTGGCCTCAGCCCTAGCCAACCATCCCCAAGTGTCTCTTCCCTGAAGTGGCCAGGCCACCATGCTGTCTGAAGGGGCAGAACATGGAAAGAAGGGAGCAGTCTGGCCCTCTCTCTCCTGAGCCTGCTGCCTCTTATGGTGAAATTCCTCGAGTGGCTCTCAAAGACATCACTCATTTATTTCCCTGCAGTCTAGCAAGAAGGGACTGGGGGGATGGGAGAAGAAAGTCAACCAGAAAACTCGATCATTCTGGGGAATTGACTTGGTGACAGTACAGTAAGTACTCAGAGAGGCTGTGGGGCCGTGAATCTCGTAACTGAAGGCAGAGCTTCAGATATATTTCTGATGCCTTTCTGCAGACAATTTTATCTCTCAGGAAGTAAAGAAAGCTAGAAGTGAAGTGGCTACTCTCGTCTTAATTCTGTCCCACAAAGAAAAGGAAGAGAAAATGTGGGAAAATGGTGGTCACATGTCAACCTGAAACCAGTGAGAGCTAAGGAGTGGAGTTGCAGGCCTGATCGGACCTGCACTCTAAATTTTAGGAGAAAAGGTTAAAAGAAATTCAGAGGAAAGGCAAGGAGGATCTGTGTCCTCATCCTCTAAAAGGGAAGTCTACTCCAGAAGGCCATCTGGGTCTGAAAAAATGAAGTTCTCATCATGCAATTACATGTGACTCTGCTCAGAAAGAATGGCGTGAAGCATAGAAAAAGAACTGTATTGCAGCACAGGGAGCTCTTTGTTGAGTTCAAATTAAAAAGATATGTACAAAAGCACTTAGCACAGGGCCTGGCACATAAAAAAATAAAATGTAAATGTTTATCGACTGATTGACTTGACTGACAAAAGAAAGAGGCTGGGGATAATAATGAAGGCTGACTATAAAAGATTGTCATGATCCTATAAGTATATTGTCAGGAAAACTACCACCCAAAATGAACTAAGTGGTCAGGGAGCTTTAGAAACTGTCTCCACCCCATTCTTCCCCACCATGCCCCATCACCAAGTGAATTGTACATAAAGAACTTTGTGGCTATGTCAGGGGCATGAATATAAGCTTTTTGAGGAAAATTTACCAAAATCTACCATGTTCAATGACTTTAAAAATAACATAAGGGAGATGGTATAATGTTTACAGCATCAACTATTATGTTTTATCTTCTCTTCCATGAGTGATTCTTGGACTGGAAAGGTTAGAACTAACATGGTTGAAAGGGAATTCAAGTACAAGATGATGAATGAGATAGCAAGAGAGGACTGACATGTCTTAAAGTAGTCCGAGTCACCAGGTCCCAGGGTACCAAGAGAATTCAATCACTCAGAACTACTGCTGAGTATCTTTTAACAACTGTAGAAATCAAGAGGTGTTCTAGAGTGATAAAGATAGGCAAGTGTCCCCATTTGTAAAAGGAGGAAAAGGGAAATGGGAAAAATATAGATCCATGAACTTGGACAATCAGTTCTAGGGCACATTATTAAATGGATGGCTTGTAAGTATTTAGAAAGGGAAGTGGTGATCACTAAGTATGGCTTTGCAAACAACTAACCAGTTTTGCCAGAGCAAACTCATTTTTTTGTTGGTAGAGTTAGGAGACAGGCAGATCAGGGGAATTGCTGAGGCCATACCTGAATTTCAGAAAGAGATTTGACCAAGATTCTCTTGATATCCATCTGCACATTAATGGAGAGAAGTGTGCTAGATGGTAATGCAAGCCGTGAAGATTTGTAACTGACTGAATGCAAAGGCTCATGGGGCACTAATCAATGGACTGGTCAAGCTGAGAGTGAGTCCATTAGAGCCCTGTTCTAATTAAGATTTCTCATCAATGAGAAGGGGAAAAGTAGGCAGATGAGGATAAGGAGAAGGAAGGAGAGAGAAGGGGAAAGAAAGAGAGCCAAGTCACCTTCCTTTTCTAAACCCATTTCCTTGTCTATAAAGTAAGTATCTCAGCATGGCTGGTTGGTCTAAGGTCTGGGCCTCATGTTGGATTATCTATGAATGATTCTTAAACCCCTCCCTCCAGACCCTCTAAGCTGAACCTCAAGGCAGCTTTCCAGGGGTAAGGAGACCCAGATGACAGAAGAAATCTAAACTTGGGACTCTATGGAGACAAATGTGCCCGCCCTCTCCCCCTCCCCGCCTCCACCAAGGTCACTGAGCAGCTGCAGAAGAGCAGCCCTCCCTAAAATAGCCCATCCCAGGCATAATCCCAGCTTCCCCAGGCACTAAAATAGAAGGAAACTTGAGATGGGGTCACTAGTTGGCCTGGCCATGCAGAGAAGGGACTGCAAAGGGTCACCTCTCAATTCAATGCAGTCCCTCTCCCACCTACTGCCAAAGCTGTGGGAAAATGTCAGAGAATATGCCAGGGAGCTTATCTCTCTGGCCTCAGTGGGGGTGGGGATGGGGCTGGGGAATCTACGGATAAACAGTTACTTCTTCCAGGCAGCATGACTACCCAGTAACAGCTGCTATTTTCCCATAGGATTTAATTTATAGATTTTAAAACAACAACAACTGAGTCTCATTGAAAGGAAGGGATCTGCTCAAGGTCACATAGCAAGTAAGTAATAGATTCAGAATCTGAATCCAAGTCCTCTGCCTCTGAATCCACTCAACCATCCTGGCTCTCTTGGCTTTTCTTAGCTTACTTGGTGGAAGTAACCATTTTAACCCCCAGGACAGGCCAAATGGGGCCTGTTATATGTGTTTCCTTACCTGGAAATAAAGCCTTGAGAGCAAAATTAAAGCCTGTGGATTTTCTTAGCAACTAAGGAACTGATCAGGTTTGTACTGAGTCACCCTATGGACTCCATCCTATGAGAAAGGGAAGACCTCACTCACCCTCAAGAAACTCCCAACTGGTTGGGGATGTTAGATGAAATCACATGAAACTGTGACTTGATTTGACCCAACAAAAGTTGGGGTGATCAAGAAAAACTTCCTGAAGGGGGTAGAGCTTGAGCTTCAATAAGCTAAGAAGGCAAAAGGACATTCTAAGGAGGGCCAATAATGCAAGCTAAGGCATGGTGGGAGGAATGAGATATAGGATCAGCCATTAAACTAAAAAAGAGCCTTAAAGAGTATCTAAAGTCCTCATTATACATTTGAGGAAACTGAGACCCAGAGAGGTTCAGTAGATACCCAAGATGTCACAACAGAGCCAACATTTAAATGAAGACCTTTTGAATCCAAATCCAGTGCCCTTTCCACTCCCTGTAGCATTTTCTTCTTCTGTCTGACACACGTGGGTTGGTGAAACCCTGAGTATTCTTTCTGTGGTGGTTAATAACAATAATAATAAAATAATAATAACAATAGCTTTTTAAGGTTTACAAAGTGCTTTGTTATCTCATTTGACCCTCACAAGGACTCTTCGAGGTCAGTGCTATTAGCCATCCCATTTTACAGAGGAATAAAATGAGGCACAGAAAGGTTAAATAATTTGACTTGGATCACATAGCTAATAAGTATCTGCAGTCACATTTGAACTCAGATCTCCATGACTCTAAGTTCAGCATTCTAAGCTGCCCTTATATAGGTACAAGGAGGATGGAGAGTTATGGAAAGACATGCTTACCCTCTGACTAAGAACCTTGTTTGTTTGGGTTCTCACATCCGGGAGCCAATGCTGGATCAATTGTTAACTCGGGGTTAGCCTGCAGCTGGCGGGCTGGGTGTCTCTTGGCTTGGGGAGTATCATTCTCCGCCAGGCCATTTACTGTCCATAAACATCCGCCCCAAGCTCAAGCATCTGGCATTGCAGGGAGAAGCAAGGACTCCAACCCGGAACCCACTCCCTTCTGTACACTCTTCCCTGGTAAATAAACAAGGACTTGGGGTCACTCTTGAAAAGGTCACTTGGTTGCTATTGGGGGAGGAGGAGTGTTAGGTGTGTTGAAGCCCTAGAGGGTGGAGGGGTTGGAGAGAGAATGATTAGAGGTCTTAAATTTTTGAAGATTTT